CACAGAAAGGACCTGAAGCCTTTATATCCATCTCGCTAAAGCTTGGCTAAAATCTTATGGAGTGATTATACGGGTGTTACCCATATAATCACTCCATAAGATTGGAGGTTAAGGAGGTTAAGGATAAGGTTACCCGGTCCTTAATACACTTGGAAACTTATCACCATGCTTAAGAGTATCCAAACCAGACTGAGAATTCTGCATATGAATGCCATCCACACATGGAAATTTCCCTGTGTCTGGAATGGAATGTGCACGCTCTTCCTGGGGGTAAGCACCCTGCTTACCTAATTCCAAAGAGTAGGTTGGCAAGAATCTTTACCTTTTACATTATGAAGGGTATTGTTGCTTTCCGAGGGTTAGAAGAATGAACACTCACTCCACTTCCTTTACTTCAATTTTACCATAGCAGAAGGATTAGGATATTCTAAAAAGAAATGCGTGAGGACAAACTGTGTGGATATGAAACGGGTCTTTATTTGCAGTAAAAGAACAAAAAGAACATTGTAATCGTGTGTAAATAGGGATTAACATAGTTCTAGAAATAATTACCTTTCTTCAGTTTGTTTATAGAAAAAATTCCTTGATGGATAAAATTTGGTGAAGAATTTCCAAAACTTTTCCAAAATGATGCACCATAAATTTCCTTAAGATTTAAAATTTAACTTAATTTTGGAGAATTCTTCAAATCATTCTCAATTTGGCAACCAATTGTTCCATAGTGTTTTATTAACTATGTAAAAGGGGGCTCGAAATTAAGAGTAAATTTACGAGTTTTCTGAGCTTTACTCTCTATGTACAATCTCAAATGTTCAGAAAATGATGTAAAGGCCATGAACATGAAGGATTTGGGGTCCATGATGTTTATAAAGGCAAGGTCAATTTTCTGAGTAATGGTATCTTACACTACAATACACCACGATAATGCATCAGTTTTACTTCACTGGGTAATGCCACAGTGAATAAAAAGTAAATAGAACTTGCTTCCAACATGAGGCCTCTGAGCAAAGCTTTCGTATTCACTGGCCCAGGACTCATTTGTTTTACTTCACTTGTTCTGTTTATTTAATGTCAATCAGGTTAAAATATAAGCTGTGCCTTGTGTCATAGATTCAAGATAATCTTATAGAATTGCTGACTTTTAAAAGCTTTCTGACATTCCAGAATATATTGATAGACGTGGCAAATTGCTAAAATAGAGCATTGTTCATTTTGAGAGTTGTTGATCAGCTTGGCTCAGTTGATAGCACTCTTGCCTCTGGGTCAAAAGATTGTGGGTTTGCTTTGGGCTCACTATTTATGTTGAGTAATATTGGAAGGGCACTGCATTAATGGAAGTGCCATCGTTCAAATGAAAGGTTGAATCGAGGTCTTATCTGCCTATTCAGGTGGACGTTAAAGAACCCATGACACTATTCGGATACAGAAGGCAGTTTCCCCCAGTGTCCCAGTATTAAACAAATCCTCCAGATGAATTGATCATTTATCGCTCAGTTGTTTGTGGGACATTGTGCACAAATTGGTTGCCGTGTTCTCTTACAAAGAGTCACTACACTTACAGTAATTAATATGATGCGCTTTGATGTGATAAGGCACTATATCAAATGGAAACATTATTATTATATCTGACAGCATGTTGTCCTAGACACTTGCTTTCATGTGAAACTTCTAAACGTGAGGTGGTAAACAATACAATTCTAATATTTTGGAACAGTAGAGCGATTCTGAATAACATTATTGTTGTTTGAACTCATTTCAAAAGATTAAAGGTGGAAGCTGCTGGGAAAAGTTTCAACAAAATCTTTCAAAAAATGTTGTCGTCCTATTAAATCTAGTCTGTTACAAGCCTTTGATTGCTCAGACTTGTGTCTGTGCCTGCACTTGTTTGGGCTGGAGGAACTGATTTTTTATGAGAGAGTATTCTCTGGATGTAGGAATTGCCTCTTTCTGTCTCACACACCCGTAGCTCTGCCACAGACGTGCTGTCTTAACGAAATGCTGCCCTGCACCTCCCAGGAGACTGGATGAGTTCAGCTAACGTCTATCCTCAGTGAATGCAGTCTGCCTCAGAGAATGCAGATCACAATAGTTTTCGCTCTTGATCATTAGGTTAAGAATTACATTCATTTCCTAAAGAACGTTTCCTTTGATTTTCCCAGTGGCTATTCATTTGCATTCAATTACAGCTTTCTGGTTAAGGTTAAGAGATCAAGTCCCTCTTCTACTTTTTTTTAGAACAAAAAAATGTAAAGTAGTACTGGCACATTTTAATTCATGTGGAAGCCAAACCTATACTTACATTACTTTGCTTGATATGGTATTAAATCTCAGATGCGCAACACTGCAACTGTTTTGGATCGAAGCAGATCTCTGCATTTTCCTTTTTAATTGAAGGGATTTTCAGGCTGAAGATTTCTCGTTGATTGTTTGTAATTGAGGCAACTTGTCAGTCACGTATTGTGTAAATTGAATTGTTAATTCTCTGTTTAAACATCTTAATAATAATGGAAACAATGGAAATTGGTGGTGCATATTCTAGGAAGCACTTTCAGACATCTCAACATGTGATAAGGCACCATATCAAACACAAGGATTATTATTGGATGCTGTCTTCCTGGGAGTGCTGAATGCCGGACCTGGAAGATTACAGGGGGGAGAGGGAAGGGGGTACTTGAGGGAAAACGGTAGCCCATATACTCATCCTGCTGGAGATGTGATGTGGGTGAGCTGGATGAGAGTATAAATGAAAACAAGCAGGTCTTGCCAGGACAGAAACACATGAGCAACGTTGCAGCACTGACTGCAGTGCTGAGACTGGAGTGCTCCTGGACAGCCCACCTCCACAGATGGCGTTATAAGTCATTGTTTTATAACCACTGCTTCATTTTTAAATCGGACTACTGTGTTCAAATTCAAATCACTCTGCTGTCACAATAGCTATTCAACAAACGTCCAAGTATCGCTTGAGAGCTGCTGCAGTAAAGTCTGGTGAAGTGTCAATCCGTGTTTTTTTTAAAAAGAAAACAGGGTTATATTTTTAAAGGAAAATCCCTATTTTTCAGTCGTTGGATTTAATGATCCATTTACCCTCGACGCTTATATCCCATAACTGTTTAGTTCATTGTTTACTACTTCCCACTTGTCCTAAAATGGCATTAACGATGCTGTCAAGGGGCCTTTCGGGGGTATTTGGGGGGAGATTCAGGAATGGATCATATTGGTTAGAGTCAGATGGACAGTAAGGGATTTATTTATTTATTGTGTGGTCTGCTGTGTGCTGTGCTGTCATGTGCAAAGCTCCCTTGCGATGCGTCAGCCGAAAACAAGCCTTGGATCAAATCTGCTGGAGAAGGAACCTACCTCGAGGGGCCCCTTGACGCCAGTACATCCTCTGTGCAGTAGCATTCTCACAAGACTGAAGCCGGTTCTGCAGCACCACCGAAGTAACCGACCGAGTCACTGAGAATGCACTGCACAGATCAGACCCTCTGAAGAAGCCTGAACTCGTCCGCTGCACAGGCGCTGTCAGAACACTTTGCCACTGAACTGCCAGCCTTTCTACTCCCCCCACTTCCTCTCCCCCCCCCATCCCCATCCCCCCCCCCCCCCCCCACCCCCTAACTGACATGCTTTAATGACGGGAGAACCCAATGCCGCGTTGGGAGAACGCAGGCTTCCAGGAGATGATCCCACTCCCAGTGACAGAGCAGTGATGACAAGTGTTGTTGAGGTGGATTGGAAAGAAAGGAACGGGGACGGTCGGGAAGAGGTTCTCAGATGACATCCAGTTCCTGCTCAACCCCCTTTTGCTTCGCATCGACCCAGTGCTGCGTGTGGCATCCTTTTTTTTTTGCGCGCGTGTGTGTGTGTGTGTGTCCTCTGCTCACTTACCACCTCCCTCCCCCCCTCCAGTCAAACTGCGTCGTCGGACTAAGAGGATCAACAGCTTAGTCGTTTCGTGTGTGTGTGTGTGTGTGTGTGTGTGTTGGTGGTGGTGGAGAGGGTTTTTTTGTGGGGGGGGTTTGTGCTGCGAAAGGGGTTGGGAATTTTTTTTTTACCCCCCCCCCCCTTTGGAAATGTTGCCCAGAGAGGGCGAGGAGGTGTCGGGGTGACTGGCCATGGGCGCTGAGGGTCGGGTTGGGGGTCTCCGGGGGCTCTCGGTGTCGGGGCTGCGGTGAGAGGCCACACAGCTGTCGGGGTGGGAGTGGGGGTGGGGGTGGGGGTGGGGGGTGGGAATCGCCGATGGAAAGTTTCCTCGGGCTGCGGCGCGCCATAGCATGAGCCCCGCGCCGTCCTGGCCGACACTCTCCTCTCTCCTCTCCTCTCCCGCCGGGAAGGAGCCACGGGAACCGAGCCGCCCGCCCGCCCGGGGGAGGGGGGGGGGGGAGCCGAAGGGTTTGCGGGGAGGGGGACCGGGAGGAAGGACGAGCCAGAAGCGCGCGGTTGGAGAGGCGCCGGGAAGAGAGTCAGAGGCGCGGCTGCGTTCGCGTCGTGAATGGTTCCTGCGACATCGAGTACATTTGCTGTTAGTTCGGGGGGAGAGGGGCAGTGAGGGGGTAGTAGTAGGGTTTTTTTTATTATTATTTGTATCCGGACCTGGTGGTTGCGATGCTCTGACTCCCGTCCTCCCAGACTTCTGTGTCATCCGTCCCATGTGCGTCCGGACCTCAGCGTTCGTCCGGGGAGTTGGCGGCGATGAGCGGTGGTCCGGGGCTGCGGGGGGTCTCTGATGTGGTTCACCGCCACTCGCGGTCGAACTGAGAGCCTCTCCTCTCTCCGGTCACACGTCGGCGATGCACCCGACGGCCCCGCGCACACCCCGGGCGGCGGCGGCAGCGGCGGCGCGGGGATCGTGACCGGGAGTTGGGGTTTTTTTTTTTTTTTTTTTCGTTTTTTTTTCCCCCCTTTTGCGTTTTGGTGCGTCTGCGAGAACCACATCGGCGATTTGAGGATTGAGAGGGGGGAAAAAAGCCACACACCCCCCACACCCACCCCCCACCCCCCCACACACCCACACGCGTGAAGGACGACTCCCGAAAATGATGCACGTGAATAATTTCCCCTTCAGGAGGCATTCGTGGATCTGGTAAGTCCGCTCCCGCACACGGCGCGCGGTGCTGAGAGCCGTCGTCGCGTGTTATCCCGGACTCCCTGGTGCCCGGTGACTCTCTGGTGCCCGGTGACTCTCTGGTGCCCGGTGACTCTCTGGTGCCCGGTGACTGTCTGGTGCCCGGTGACTCTCTGGTGCCCGGTGACTCTCTGGTGCCCGGTGACCCTCTGGTGCCCGGTGACTCCCTGGTGCCCGGTGACTCCCTGGTGCCCGGTGACTCTCTGGTGCCCGGTGACCCTCTGGTGCCCGGTGACTCTCTGGTGTCCGGTGCCTCTGGTGCCCGGTGCCTCTGGTGCCCGGTGACTCTCTGGTGCCCGGTGACTCTCTGGTGCCCGGTGACCCTCTGGTGCCCGGTGACTCTCTGGTGCCCGGTGACTCTCTGGTGCCCGGTGACTCTCTGGTGCCCGGTGACCCTCTGGTGTCCGGTGACTCTCTGGTGCCCGGTGACTCTCTGGTGCCCGGTGACTCTCTGGTGCCCGGTGACTGTCTGGTGCCCGGTGACTCTCTGGTGCCCGGTGACTCTCTGGTGCCCGGTGACTCTCTGGTGCCCGGTGACTCTCTGGTGCCCGGTGACTCTGGTGTCCGGTGCCTCTGGTGCCCGGTGCCTCTGGTGCCCGGTGACTCCCTGGTGCCCGGTGACTCTCTGGTGCCCGGTGACTCCCTGGTGCCCGGTGACTCCCTGGTGCCCGGTGACTCTCTGGTGCCCGGTGACTCTCTGGTGTCCGGTGCCTCTGGTGCCCGGTGACTCTCTGGTGCCCGGTGCCTCTCTGGTGTCCGGTGACTCTCTGGTGTCCGGTGACTCTCTGGTGGTGGCGTTTCCCCACTTGGAAATCCCGTGTGAAACTGTTGAGGAGTTCAATCGCTGACCAGTCGCTGTGTGGCGGACCGTGTGGTTCGCAGCAGATGCGGTGAGGTATCTATTTTCTCGCTGTGCGTTCACTCCCTCTCACGCCGCACAGACGTTTTATTGCAAGTTTTAAACCCGAGCGTTTTCTGCACAAAACTGCAGCTGAGACTGGAGAACTTTTGGGGGACACAGACACAACTGCTCGGAAGTGAAGCAGTCGTCAGGGAGTGTGATGACCGCTCTCTGTGAAAAAAAACATTTGTGTAAAAACAGCTGTAGGGAAATGTAACACTGCACAGCAGTGCCGAACACTGCCCTCAGAAAATGGATCGTCTGTTCCATGCGATTGAACTTCGTGTTATCAGGAATGCAGGTGTTTTTTTTTAAAAAAAGCAAAGATTAGGTTCTTGTGGAAAGTTGTGAAGCTGAGAGGTGGGTTCTGCACATGGACACAGGGCAGTAGGGAGTGAGGAGTTGTGTGTTCCTTACAGTTTGCACAATGTGATGAACACTGCCACCGAATTTTGAAATAACTTGGGCCAACAAACTTTCAGAAATTTTGCAAGTTCAACCTCAAAGACAAGCAACCGAATTGCACAAAAGCCTTTGGATTTTTTTTTCTGTCGAACGTGTACATCTATTACATTTCCGTACTTTGTCATTGTTTGTATTTCTTTGCATATAGTCTGCGCCAGGTATGTTTGATTTAGCATCTTATTTGAAGTAGGGAATAACGAAGGCCGTGACATTAGTGAGGATATAAAGGCCGTGCTCCCTGCTGGTTTGAGGAGACAAAACAGCCAGTCAAGTCTTAACTTGATCGGTTTTGCAAACTGGTTTGTAAAACCTTGGATTATCAACAATGATCTCTTTGTTGATTTTCACTCTCTCCAGTTGAAAGTGACCCGTAGCCCTTGGCCTGGGAACCGTATTTCGTGAATTAAGCAGCACAACAAATCACCCCACCTCGTGAGTCGCAAATATACGTTTGATCCTGGTACAAAATCAACGAAATAAGAATCGCCTTAGCAAGACCCCTTTTTTTTGAAAAAAAGTCGAACTCTTAAGCCACAATGGCCAACTTTACGGTGCTTCGACCCTGTGAATTTCTGCTGATTTAAAAAAATGTTTTTGTCGAAACAATGGTGCTGGTGATATCATCAGGGAGGGAGCTGAATTAATACCAGTGGTTGGAGTCATTACAGTCATGTTTCACTGAGCTCGTCATTTCAACTCCGCACTTGTATTCGATTCAGACTGTTGAGTTCACTAACCTCCCCACCCAGTATTTTTTTCCAATCCTGACACCAGCTCTCATACTTTAAACATCATCAGTACAGTATGGAAACAAAAAAAGTAATTGCATCTGAATTATTTGAGACTGATTTCACAGACAAATTATTGGACATCAGGGGGATGTTTCCAAGCCTTGGTTAATAATGGGTGGTACTTTGTTTAGAACTGCAGTAGCGATGCTTTGTTGGAGGTAAATGTAACTCAATTAGACAAAGAAATCTTCTGAAATACATTAATGGGTACTTGCAGGCATTGAATTCTGTCCTAATATTTTTGTAGGACTGCCAACAGTCGAACCCTTGACTGCATTTTCTTTCATAAAATGTTTAGATTAGTTAGGTCTTGGAGGTTAGTAACCATGATTCTGCCCTCTATCCACTTGAATAAAGCAGGTTAGCATAAACATATTTCCCATTCCTGGTATACATTCGCACCATATGCTCTGTTGTTATTTTTCATTCAAGTAGGGTATATGAGGGAGGAAAAAATACTAAAATATACTAAATGTGATATTATCATCTGTGAGGATTATCCCATTGCTCAAAACAGGACACCATTAGTTATCACTGACCTCAAAATCAAGAAACTGCCACCGATAGGAGGTCAGTTATAAATAATGATCCCTTCATTTGATATTGTGCCTTATCACATCGTCGAAACGACTCAAAGGCTTCACAGGAATGTGTTGTCGAGTGTGGTAACTGTGTTTGAAGGCAAACCCGGTATCTAATTTCCATATAACAATGTTCCAAAACATCCATGAAGTGAATAATCAATTTGATCAGGGGGACAGTTGGCCGGGACACCTGGAGAAACTCGGTTCTTTTTAATGCAATGGGGTCTTTCACGTCCACTTGAACATACAAATGGGTTAACTATTGATTATTTCTGATCATACATATCTTTGGTGGTTGTGAAAATGTCTTCAGTGATAATATCACCCCTGGAGTTTCCCCCTCTAGATGTTTTCCCCTGCAGTGTTTCTGTGATCAGTAAACATTTTGAAGCAGATGGTTTTTAAATTTGGAGGGAATGATGACTTTGTCCATCTGCTGCCCATTTGATTCGCTGCGTGTGCTTGATCCAGGAGCAGGAAAGTGCTCAAAGACATTATTATTTCTCTGTGCTTTGGAGGAGGGAGAACGAATGGAAAGATTTTTGCTCTAAAGAATATAACATGTTGGAACTCGTATCTTTGCAGGTGCAGCAGTCTGATTACAGATTGTTTACATTTTTCCCAAAATGTAGCATGGCGTTTGGGTGGGGATAGAAGATGCTTTCCCTGCTTTTGTCTTTCCACCAACACAAGGGGAAGATCAGATGATGTGCTGCTTGGAGTGCAGAACCACCTGATGTGAAGCAGCTTATCGGCTCCTCCAAACAGCAGCACTGGAATCAGGGAGGAGGAGCCCTGACGTCCAAAGCTAGGTTTTGTATTCGTGCCAGGTGCAACTCCTTTTTTGCATCAGTTCAAGAGGCATTTATGCCACTGCGGCAAAGTCTCGGCTTGAAACAAGCTCAGGTCCCAGAGATGAAAGGGCAGTGTGCCAACCCACTGCACCACCCAGCCCCCAAATACACCATCATGTTTTTATCAGAGTTTATGAAACAGTAGAGACTTGTTAAAGATTTGCATCTCTGAAAGTCTAAGAAAATTATTTATCTTTTATAAACTATGATTTCTTTTTTCTCTTGATGCATTTTCACATTGATGTTGCAATGCGATGATATGTTAGCAAACTAACTGGCAATAGAGAGGGCGGCAAGCGAACAGCTCTATTGTGGTGTTACATTTCTGTTGCATTATTTATGGGCTGGTTGGTAGCAGGCAACTGTACTGAACACTGTTCAGTGCTGAAAAGTACAGTTTTAATTGTGTTACAGCACAGAGTTTAGTATTAGGGAGGGTTCGGAAGCCAGTTTTCCCTGCGTACGACACTGTTTGGTCAGCGTTTAAGATAATATTCTAACAGGCAATCCTAATGGACAAGCATCTAAAGTCCACACCCTACCCTACCTCTGCAGCCCTACTGTTCCGGCCATACCCTCCACTCCTGTCACACCGGCTTGCTTTATGTCCCTGAAGTGGGGCGAGCTTTCAGCCATTCTGCCTCCGCTCTCTGGAACTTCATCGCATAATCCCTCTTCGCATAATCCAAGCACACTCCCTCCCCAACTTCAAAACTCACCTTTCTTATTGACTTCACTTTTTGCCACCCCCATAAGTTTCCCCCATCTCCTATCCCCCCAGTTTGAGCTTTCTGTCAGTTGTATCAAGAGCTTTGAGACGTTCTCCTTACGCAAAAGGTCCTGTATAAATCTAAACTGTAAATTGTAAAACAGGACTTTTCACTGGAAAATTAATTTATAAAATGAGGAAAACTGGGGCAATGGTGCTGGACTTGCCTGCATTGCAAGCTGCTATTTCTCCCAGATCCAACAGACAAACAAGGTGCTGTCGGAGCAGAAGTAGTGTGTAAGATGAGTTATTAATCTATGTTAATATGGTGGTGCCAACAGGCAATTGTCTTGTGGCCATTGCTTGAGTTCTAGCATGGATAGGGTTAAAGTTATCGTCTGAACATTTAGCATTGCCGCCAACCATAGTTCATTATGCAAAATATCTCAAATCAGTGGTTCATACAGTTTGCATTTTAACCCGTTGAGTGCTGAATTTACTGTGTCCTGCTCAGTATGTTTTTGACTTTTCCACATTTGCCAGGAATAAGGAAATAAGAGTAAGGAAGCTGGAAAGGAACCAAACAGGGAAGTTTCCACCTGTAGGTGATACAGATATATGAAACTCTCATTCTGGTTTGCATAGTCTTAAGTA